CCTATTGATGATGGGCTTGGTTAGTGTTCTGTTTGTACTTCTCTCTCATGGTATTGTGAGTAGTAATTTGCCTGCCTTTGAATTGTTCTTGTGTGATTTTTTTTCATTGTATTTTACTTACTTTTCAGTAGTTAATTTAGTGAGAATGAGAGAGAGAGAGAGCAATCAAGTTTCTTTGGGTGGCAAATTTGCTTAAACTCAATGTGTTTAATGACGATGGTTGACTAATGTCAGATGTAATATTGCAACCCCACCCAAGTAAATTATGTGTATTTGTATCATGTATATAGATGTGTACATGAGTGCGAGTCTTATTTTTTTTGATCAGGAGTGTGAGTCTTGTTGGAACAATGAAAAGATTTAGTATTAGAATCACAAAAATAATCTTGCCCCCAAAATTAAGTCGATTACATTTGAATCTCATAAAAATTTATTGTAAATGTGTACATGTTGTTTTTTTGGAGGGGGGGGGTCGTTAGTCGTGAATCTAATCTTATATATGCCAGGTCATTTTCTTTCCATGATCCTACTACTTTGTGGGATAAATATTTCCATGATCACTTTGAGACATTTTTGTGACTGGGTAATGTTACGTGAATAATGGTGGCTAAGGGTTTTTTTTTTGTTTAGTTGGGGTTGGGTTTGGGGTTTGCTTACTTTGAAGTTGGAAAATGAGCGCATCTTTTATCTCTCTCGGCCAACTGATTGCTGAGTTTTCTGGCTCTGCTTTACTGCAACAACTGGCAGAAGAAAATGCCTGATGGTTCGTTCTAATTACCCATCCTATCCTACCTCAGCTTCTTGGTTTGAATATAGTGTCATGTTGTAATAGGGAACCTGGTTAGGGTTGTGCCTTAGCCAAGTTACAAGTTCATTTCACTATCCGAAAAAAAGTTACAAGTTCTTTTCAGACTTTGAGAGAGAGAGAGAGAGAGAGAGAGAGAGAGAGAGAGAGAGAGAGAGAGATGGGTGGGTTGTGTTGCTCTGCATACGATATGATGGATGAAAGCTTTCGAAGCCCAGCTTTATTTTCTCTATCTCTCTAATCTAAACTGTACTTAGTTTTGTCTCTTTGTTGATCCAATCAACTCTTTTAACGTGGAAAAAAAAAAGGAATTAGAAAGAAGGAAAAGGTTGAGCGTTTCTCTCAAGTTATTTGTCAGCACTTTTGATGCTCTTGTTTTATTAATTCTTTGGCAGTTGTTTACCGAAGTAATAGTATTTTCATCTTGATCCACAGACTTAGGAGGATGGAGAGTAAAGCTTAGACATTATAAAGAGACAATAAAGAACCATTCAAATGCTTAGTTTGTACAAAGAAGACTAGGGTGGTCGAGAAGGGTAATGCTATATAATAATAGACATGTTTAATTTGAGTTTTTCTCATTAATTTATGTTAACATGTTTGTCAATTTATTTAATGTACACTGATAGATGTAGCCTAAAATCGTTATGGTATTGTACTCGCAAAATGTTATAGTTCCCATAATTCGGTCTAAGAATTTCTTATAACATCTGTCTTATTTACATAAAATTTTAAGCATGTATGTTAGCGTTAGAGCAATTTAACTTCATCGTGTTATCCAACATTAATCTAATCTAAAGCATTTTAGAGATTTAATATTTAAAAATTAGTATACATTTTGGGATTAAATTCTTTACGGGTAATCACAATTGAGGAATTACACAAAAACATAAATCAATTGCAAGGGTTGTGGTATTGCGGGAGGTGCTCAATACCGCGGAAGGACGAGGTTGCAGCAAAAGAACTTGGGCAACCTTAGTGTGATCTACCTAATCCACCTCTCTACTGCCAAAGTAAAGACACATAGCTGAGACACTGCAAATGATAAAGAATGACATCCATAGCAAAGCGTCAAGGGGTACTCCCGGAGTAAGACTGCTTGAGAAAACCTGCATAACCCATTGGATGCCCACAATGATAAAGTTAATTAATACTGTTTCTCGACTGATCCAAGAGATTAAGAGGAGGGAAACCAACTTGGGGAGAGGGAAGAGGATAATTAGATGATGAGATGTGTGGATTGGTGGTCGGTCAAACATTTACTTTGCACAAATTGTCATAAACTATTGGTAGCTGTTGGGGGCCATTTAGTTCAATTTAGCATTGCCCATCAGGAAATAATTGATTGAAACAAGACAAGGGTTGAAGGATAGAATGAAGAGAATTAGTGTTTATGTCAATTTGATTAAGAAAATGGGAAAAGGATAATCCTATTTGCCCAAGAGAAAGAAGAACACAAATAGATATAGGGGGAGTGTAAATTCATCTTATCCCTGCCATTCTCGGATTTAGTGGTGTATTAGATTGGATATCACTTGAAATGTATGGCTATTTTTAAAAGTGATGGGGTTGATGTAAATCAAAACTTAAATATAAGGGTTAATGCGAAATCTATCCATTTTGATTAGATAAAAAGCATGGCAAGGGTAAATTCATCCACAAGGCTGGCAAATTAAAATAAAAAAAATTTCATTTGATTCTATTATTTTAATTGTGAGTATTAATTGAGTTGAGTTTATCAATTTTGATTATGCTAAGTTTAGTTCAGTGGGATTGGTTGAGTTAAATTTTTATTTACATTTATCTTCATAAAAAAATATGAATATTTGAGTCAAATTTGAGTTCAATGTTGCATTTCAATTGAATCCTAAATGAAATAATCAATTCTTCAACATAAATTCCTCAAAGTCTGTATAATCAACAATAAGATCTTATCCTAAAATTCAGATTTTGAGAAATCTACTATATTAGAGAAGAGACTGATGGAGAGGTGATTCATCACCAATTCAATCATTGTCCACACTTACCATTTATGGAAGTGAGGATTAGGCACATGTGTCAGCAATCAACCATACTCTGTATATATAAATTAATTGTCTTTCGGGACAAGATTCTTTTTGTCCGGGGTTGTATGGTTGCTAAGTGCTAACCCCACCACCAACCACCAAGCGGAGTAAATACAGAATGCACCGGTTATACTCTATCACTGTTGATTAGGGGTGTTAATCGAGCATAATAGTTCAACTATTTACGCATAAACGAGCATATTTGTTTAATTATTTACACATTAACGAGTTTAAATAAATATTTAACCTTGACTTGATTAACAGTCCTATTATTGATGATATGAAATTATCAATTAATAATAAAATTTTAAATAGAAAAGATGAACCTCACTTGAATTTACACGACAGAATGGTGAAAAATTATTTATTTACATGATAGATTAATTATTAATTTTTAAAGGATTCATCTATTTATTTATTTTGATATTATTAATTAATAATATTATATTAGTTTGACACGTGATATCAATGTTGTAATAAATATTTTCTCCACCAAGTGGCTGCTTGAAGACCGACGTCGGCATGGCGGCGGGTTTTGTTATACCCTTTGTTGTCTCATGGTATATTAATATGATCCAAGTAATTAGTTTATTGGACTACAGGTAGTGCTATTTAACTATATCATTTTTTTTTTCCAATTCTCTAGTGAGGCGTTGAAAAACGATGAAAATCTATTTATTACTCACAAATGTCGAGAGTCAGAGGGTAATACCACAGTAAGACACTCTAAGTACGCGAACATTCATTACATTCATGTTTATTGTTTAGTTTGATAAATTTTATGCTGATTTTTAGCTACTTATCGTAGCACTTCTCTTTTATTTGGCTTCAAAATTAGCTGTGCACTTGTAGTTAACACGCTTATATTTTTTTTTTTAAAACATGGTTTATGATGGGACTTTTTCAAAACGTAACAAATGATGACACGTGTCTTTGGCACCGATAAAACATCTATGCTATGGTCTTGACACGTGTCATCGGCATCCTTAGCCCCCTTCCGTTGAGGGAATAATTCTCGGGGCCGAGGGAGTCCGAGACGGCATGGATGACACATATCCCTTGACTCAGATTGATGATATCGGTCCCGATGTGTATGCTCCTTCGGTGTCGAGATATATCTACTAGAAGGACTGAACACGTGACATGCGGTGTTAGATCAAAGACAAAATGATCAGAATGACCTTACTGACACATGAGTTAAGCAAACAGACATTTAATGTATCCCTTTCCTGATGAGACAGCATTTAAGGCATGAGAGCCGAGAAGTGAAAGTCATTAAATACTCTCATGCCTGGGCATTTAATACTCCCTCGCCGAGGGAAGGACATTGAATACTCGGCAGACTGAGGGGAAAGCATCAATTGCTCAGCGTCTCGAGCAGTTAAGGCTGAATGCATTCCCCACTAAAGGAAAGGGGGCACACTGTCTCATCTTTAATGATTGCCTACTACTTATATTATCAACAATAATGAACTTTTGAAGATATAAATAGTTCTCAAAAACATATTGCAAAGGTACGCAAGAACTTCTGAAAAGAACCATAGTGCTTTTTTCTTCTCTTCTCTCAAAGAACTGACTTGATCGTCAGAGAGGATACGCCGGAAANCATATTGCAAAGGTACGCAAGAACTTCTGAAAAGAACCATAGTGCTTTTTTCTTCTTTTCTCTCAAAGAACTGACTTGATCGTCAGAGAGGATACGCCGGAGANTCATCTGTCTCTTTCCTTATCCCTCTCATCCTTCTCTGTTCAAACAGGGTTTATTATCAACGTATTATAAACATACAACCAATCGCACATATAGATAGAGAGAGAAACAGATAAAGATGAAAGGAGAATATGTAGAAGACAAAGATCGCCCAAACAACATGTTTGCGAAGCTCCATCAAACCCAAAAATATCCACAACACCACCAACTAACTCTCCACCACCACCAAACTCACCACTTCCAAGTCACCCGTGAAAGCCAAACCTCCGAAGAAGCCAACAGCCGCAGCCGCAGCCCCTCCGCCACCACTGCCAACAAAGGAGCAATCATACCCATAACCACCACCAGTGACGGAGCCAGCATCGAGGTGGTTCGCCGCCCCCGAGGTCGCCCACCTGGTTCCAGAAACAAACCAAAGCCACCCCAAATCATCACTCGCGACTCAGAGCCCTCCATGAACCCATATGTCCTCGAACTGCCGGGTGGAGTTGACATTGTCCATTCAATTAACCTCTATTGTAGAAAACGCAACATGGGTCTGTGCATTCTCACTGCCTCCGGCACCGTCGCAAATGTTTCGTTGCGTCAACCGTCGGCGACCCCAGGATCCACCGTTACATTTCATGGCCGATTCGATATACTCTCGTTATCGGCGACTGTATTATCAACACCGACAACATCCGTGATTCCGGCGGCTATATCCAATGGATTTACTATATCTCTGTCTGGTCCGCAGGGTCAGGTGGTCGGAGGGACCGTTGTGGGATCACTTTTGACGGCCGGAACTGTGCATGTAATTGCGACCTCGTTTAATAATCCATCTTATCATAGGTTGTCGGTGGAGGAGGATGTAACGAATACTGGGTCTGCTGGGAATGAGGGACACCACTCGCCGCCGGCTATTTCAGGCGGTGGAGATGTTAGGCATCAGCCGGAGTCTTGTGGGATGGCTATTTATAGCAGCCACTTGCCTTCTGATGTGATTTGGGCACCCACCGCTAGACAACCACCACCTCCACCACCCTATTGATGATGGGCTTGGTTAGTGTTCTGTTTGTACTTCTCTCTCATGGTATTGTGAGTAGTAATTTGCCTGCCTTTGAATTGTTCTTGTGTGATTTTTTTTCATTGTATTTTACTTACTTTTCAGTAGTTAATTTAGTGAGAATGAGAGAGAGAGAGAGCAATCAAGTTTCTTTGGGTGGCAAATTTGCTTAAACTCAATGTGTTTAATGACGATGGTTGACTAATGTCAGATGTAATATTGCAACCCCACCCAAGTAAATTATGTGTATTTGTATCATGTATATAGATGTGTACATGAGTGCGAGTCTTATTTTTTTTGATCAGGAGTGTGAGTCTTGTTGGAACAATGAAAAGATTTAGTATTAGAATCACAAAAATAATCTTGCCCCCAAAATTAAGTCGATTACATTTGAATCTCATAAAAATTTATTGTAAATGTGTACATGTTGTTTTTTTGGAGGGGGGGGGTCGTTAGTCGTGAATCTAATCTTATATATGCCAGGTCATTTTCTTTCCATGATCCTACTACTTTGTGGGATAAATATTTCCATGATCACTTTGAGACATTTTTGTGACTGGGTAATGTTACGTGAATAATGGTGGCTAAGGGTTTTTTTTTTGTTTAGTTGGGGTTGGGTTTGGGGTTTGCTTACTTTGAAGTTGGAAAATGAGCGCATCTTTTATCTCTCTCGGCCAACTGATTGCTGAGTTTTCTGGCTCTGCTTTACTGCAACAACTGGCAGAAGAAAATGCCTGATGGTTCGTTCTAATTACCCATCCTATCCTACCTCAGCTTCTTGGTTTGAATATAGTGTCATGTTGTAATAGGGAACCTGGTTAGGGTTGTGCCTTAGCCAAGTTACAAGTTCATTTCACTATCCGAAAAAAAGTTACAAGTTCTTTTCAGACTTTGAGAGAGAGAGAGAGAGAGAGAGAGAGAGAGAGAGAGAGAGAGAGAGAGATGGGTGGGTTGTGTTGCTCTGCATACGATATGATGGATGAAAGCTTTCGAAGCCCAGCTTTATTTTCTCTATCTCTCTAATCTAAACTGTACTTAGTTTTGTCTCTTTGTTGATCCAATCAACTCTTTTAACGTGGAAAAAAAAAAGGAATTAGAAAGAAGGAAAAGGTTGAGCGTTTCTCTCAAGTTATTTGTCAGCACTTTTGATGCTCTTGTTTTATTAATTCTTTGGCAGTTGTTTACCGAAGTAATAGTATTTTCATCTTGATCCACAGACTTAGGAGGATGGAGAGTAAAGCTTAGACATTATAAAGAGACAATAAAGAACCATTCAAATGCTTAGTTTGTACAAAGAAGACTAGGGTGGTCGAGAAGGGTAATGCTATATAATAATAGACATGTTTAATTTGAGTTTTTCTCATTAATTTATGTTAACATGTTTGTCAATTTATTTAATGTACACTGATAGATGTAGCCTAAAATCTTTATGGGATTGTCCTCGCAAAATGTTATAGTTCCCATAATTCGGTCTAAGAATTTCTTATAACATCTGTTNATGTTAACATGTTTGTCAATTTATTTAATGTACACTGATAGATGTAGCCTAAAATCGTTATGGTATTGTACTCGCAAAATGTTATAGTTCCCATAATTCGGTCTAAGAATTTCTTATAACATCTGTCTNGGGTTGGGTTTGGGGTTTGCTTACTTTGAAGTTGGAAAATGAGCGCATCTTTTATCTCTCTCGGCCAACTGATTGCTGAGTTTTCTGGCTCTGCTTTACTGCAACAACTGGCAGAAGAAAATGCCTGATGGTTCGTTCTAATTACCCATCCTATCCTACCTCAGCTTCTTGGTTTGAATATAGTGTCATGTTGTAATAGGGAACCTGGTTAGGGTTGTGCCTTAGCCAAGTTACAAGTTCATTTCACTATCCGAAAAAAAAGTTACAAGTTCTTTTCAGACTTTGAGAGAGAGAGAGAGAGATGGGTGGGTTTTGTTGCTCTGCATACGATATGATGGATGAAAGCTTTCGAAGCCCAGCTTTATTTTCTCTATCTCTCTAATCTAAACTGTACTTAGTTTTGTCTCTTTGTTGATCCAATCAACTCTTTTAACGTGGAAAAAAAAAAGGAATTAGAAAGAAGGAAAAGGTTGAGCGTTTCTCTCAAGTTATTTGTCAGCACTTTTGATGCTCTTGTTTTATTAATTCTTTGGCAGTTGTTTACCGAAGTAATAGTATTTTCATCTTGATCCACAGACTTAGGAGGATGGAGAGTAAAGCTTAGACATTATAAAGAGACAATAAAGAACCATTCAAATGCTTAGTTTGTACAAAGAAGACTAGGGTGGTCGAGAAGGGTAATGCTATATAATAATAGACATGTTTAATTTGAGTTTTTCTCATTAATTTATGTTAACATGTTTGTCAATTTATTTAATGTACACTGATAGATGTAGCCTAAAATCGTTATGGTATTGTACTCGCAAAATGTTATAGTTCCCATAATTCGGTCTAAGAATTTCTTATAACATCTGTCTTATTTACATAAAATTTTAAGCATGTATGTTAGCGTTAGAGCAATTTAACTTCATCGTGTTATCCAACATTAATCTAATCTAAAGCATTTTAGAGATTTAATATTTAAAAATTAGTATACATTTTGGGATTAAATTCTTTACGGGTAATCACAATTGAGGAATTACACAAAAACATAAATCAATTGCAAGGGTTGTGGTATTGCGGGAGGTGCTCAATACCGCGGAAGGACGAGGTTGCAGCAAAAGAACTTGGGCAACCTTAGTGTGATCTACCTAATCCACCTCTCTACTGCCAAAGTAAAGACACATAGCTGAGACACTGCAAATGATAAAGAATGACATCCATAGCAAAGCGTCAAGGGGTACTCTCGGAGTAAGACTGCTTGAGAAAAGCTGCATAACCCATTGGATGCCCACAATGATAAAGTTAATTAATACTGTTTCTCGACTGATCCAAGAGATTAAGAGGAGGGAAACCAACTTGGGGAGAGGGAAGAGGATAATTAGATGATGAGATGTGTGGATTGGTGGTCGGTCAAACATTTACTTTGCACAAATTGTCATAAACTATTGGTAGCTGTTGGGGGCCATTTAGTTCAATTTAGCATTGCCCATCAGGAAATAATTGATTGAAACAAGACAAGGGTTGAAGGATAGAATGAAGAGAATTAGTGTTTATGTCAATTTGATTAAGAAAATGGGAAAAGGATAATCCTATTTGCCCAAGAGAAAGAAGAACACAAATAGATATAGGGGGAGTGTAAATTCATCTTATCCCTGCCATTCTCGGATTTAGTGGTGTATTAGATTGGATATCACTTGAAATGTATGGCTATTTTTAAAAGTGATGGGGTTGATGTAAATCAAAACTTAAATATAAGGGTTAATGCGAAATCTATCCATTTTGATTAGATAAAAAGCATGGCAAGGGTAAATTCATCCACAAGGCTGGCAAATTAAAATAAAAAAAAATTCATTTGATTCTATTATTTTAATTGTGAGTATTAATTGAGTTGAGCTTATCGANTTGTAAATGTGTACATGTTGTTTTTTTGGAGGGGGGGGGTCGTTAGTCGTGAATCTAATCTTATATATGCCAGGTCATTTTCTTTCCATGATCCTACTACTTTGTGGGATAAATATTTCCATGATCACTTTGAGACATTTTTGTGACTGGGTAATGTTACGTGAATAATGGTGGCTAAGGGTTTTTTTTTTGTTTAGTTGGGGTTGGGTTTGGGGTTTGCTTACTTTGAAGTTGGAAAATGAGCGCATCTTTTATCTCTCTCGGCCAACTGATTGCTGAGTTTTCTGGCTCTGCTTTACTGCAACAACTGGCAGAAGAAAATGCCTGATGGTTCGTTCTAATTACCCATCCTATCCTACCTCAGCTTCTTGGTTTGAATATAGTGTCATGTTGTAATAGGGAACCTGGTTAGGGTTGTGCCTTAGCCAAGTTACAAGTTCATTTCACTATCCGAAAAAAAGTTACAAGTTCTTTTCAGACTTTGAGAGAGAGAGAGAGAGAGAGAGAGAGAGAGAGAGAGAGAGAGAGAGAGATGGGTGGGTTGTGTTGCTCTGCATACGATATGATGGATGAAAGCTTTCGAAGCCCAGCTTTATTTTCTCTATCTCTCTGATCTAAACTGTACTTAGTTTTGTCTCTTTGTTGATCCAATCAACTCTTTTAACGTGGAAAAAAAAAAGGAATTAGAAAGAAGGAAAAGGTTGAGCGTTTCTCTCAAGTTATTTGTCAGCACTTTTGATGCTCTTGTTTTATTAATTCTTTGGCAGTTGTTTACCGAAGTAATAGTATTTTCATCTTGATCCACAGACTTAGGAGGATGGAGAGTAAAGCTTAGACATTATAAAGAGACAATAAAGAACCATTCAAATGCTTAGTTTGTACAAAGAAGACTAGGGTGGTCGAGAAGGGTAATGCTATATAATAATAGACATGTTTAATTTGAGTTTTTCTCATTAATTTATGTTAACATGTTTGTCAATTTATTTAATGTACACTGATAGATGTAGCCTAAAATCGTTATGGTATTGTACTCGCAAAATGTTATAGTTCCCATAATTCGGTCTAAGAATTTCTTATAACATCTGTCTTATTTACATAAAATTTTAAGCATGTATGTTAGCGTTAGAGCAATTTAACTTCATCGTGTTATCCAACATTAATCTAATCTAAAGCATTTTAGAGATTTAATATTTAAAAATTAGTATACATTTTGGGATTAAATTCTTTACGGGTAATCACAATTGAGGAATTACACAAAAACATAAATCAATTGCAAGGGTTGTGGTATTGCGGGAGGTGCTCAATACCGCGGAAGGACGAGGTTGCAGCAAAAGAACTTGGGCAACCTTAGTGTGATCTACCTAATCCACCTCTCTACTGCCAAAGTAAAGACACATAGCTGAGACACTGCAAATGATAAAGAATGACATCCATAGCAAAGCGTCAAGGGGTACTCCCGGAGTAAGACTGCTTG